GAAAAGAAAATAGCAAAGGTTATGGAAAGATCACTGAGAGAAAAGAAAATCCAAATGGATTTGAAACTAGCCTCAATCACATAATATACATGCTAAAGTCATACGAACAGACAAAACTGGCAAATAAAGCATAATCAAAATTCAAGTCATCTACACTTTAAAACTCACCATTAAAAATGCAAAAAGGAGTCACCAGACGCTGGTGGCTCCTACCTGAAATCCCTCCTCCTCAGGAGGATGAGCTCTGAGGATCCCAGTTCAGAAGAGTCCATGACACTCTTAACTCCAATTCACCACAGAAGGTGAGAAGTGGAGCTGTAGCCCTAATGGTAGAGCACCAGCCTTGAGCAAAAAGCCAAACAAGAGCTCCAGGCCATGAGTTCAAACCTCAGTATCAGCATACACACATACACATACAGAAGTACAAGCAACAGACTGAGAGAAGGGACCTGCAAATCATACATGCAGGAGGATTTGTATTCAAAGTGCTAGTAACACTTCCGTGGTAAGACAGATCCAATCAAAAAGGAGCAAACCCTTGAACAAGCAAGGGCTAAAGAAAGACTATGAATGCCTAATAAGAATATGAACAATGTTCAGCATTATCAGTCACCCGTGGGATGAAAACTAAAACCACGTGATACCATTTCACACTCACTAGGAGTTCTAATTAAAAGATTTTAAAGAATACCAAATGTTGAATATCAGAACAAAAGGACCCTTAGACATTGCTGGGCAGAATGTAAAATGGTATTGCCACCTTGGAGAACAGTTAAAAATGAATGCATGTTCACATAAAACTTGTGTACCATACCAAGTGCTGATTGCTCACGCCTGTAATCCTAGCCACTCAAGAGGCTGAGATCTGAGAATAGTGGTTCAAAACCAGTCCCACAGGAAGTCTGTAAGACTCTCATCTCCAATTAACAAAAAAAAATCCAAAAATGGAGCTGTGGTTCATGTGATAGAGCATTATTTTTGAGCACAAAAGCTCAAGGACAGCACCTAGGCCAAATTACAGCCTCCATACCAGCACTATGTGACTCTGTGTGTGTGTGTGTGTGTGTGTGTGTGTACATATATATATGTATATAGTGCACCAGTATTTATGGAAGTATTGTACATGTGGTTTGAATTTTGAAACAATTTACCCATCACTGAAAGAACAGGTAGGCAGAATTGTGGTATATCCATGCACTGGACTATCACCTAATAGTAAAAAGGAGCCAACAGCTGGTACAGGCAACGTGGATGAACCTTAAAAACGTTAAGCCCAGTAAGCGAGGTCAGATACAAGCAGACTGTGCAGTGTGTGATTCCGTTTGTGTGAAATAGCCAGAAAAGAAAAGCTGGAGAGACAGAAAAGGGCTAGCTCTTGCTGTGGAGAGGTGGGGGGAAGGGGGGAGGGCTCCAACGGTGGACACAAGGGGACCTTACTGGAGTCACAGAAATGTTCTAAAACTCATTTATGGCGATGGGCTGGACAGCTTGATACCATTAATAAAAATTTATTGAATTTTACACTTGGAATGGTGAGCGCATAGTGTGGGAAACATCCCCCAATAACATTATATTTAATAAAGGAGGCAGCAGGCCAGAGTTAGCTTCCAGCCAAAAACAACAATGGCTGACCTAATCGGCAGTGATATGCACATCTAATTTGGGAAAACATTGCTACAGTTAAAGAGCATGAGCAAAGTTAACACTGACTTCCAAAAAAATGTCAGCTTTTCAGCCACATGATTGACAGGCAGCACACTGGCAGCCAGCAGGGCTGGTGGAGAAGCGGCCCTCCCCCACATGGCTGCGGGGACTGGAGGTGGGCCGCACCCAGGACAGGGCTTCAGATGCACACGCTCTTGACCCAGCATTTCACCTGCAGCTGAGTGAGCACACGCAGCGGATCCCACCCCACAGCCCCCGCTTCCAGAGCTAGCTCTGCAGCAGCACATGCACACGCAGACCTCCAGCCCCGCCCGCAGACGCCCCCACACAGGACGGCCTGACCCCTGTCACTGTCACATGCTGCCCCTGCAGTCACGTGCCACACGTGTTCCCACAGTCCGCCACTGTCCCCACCACTGCTCAAGCCCGCAGCCGGCCTCCGATGCCCCATGCTTGCCGGTGCCTTCCCCCACACTTACTGACCTGCACCAGTAGACTGAGTGCCACAGCACTTCAGCTGTGCTCCTCATGTGAAGGTGCGCCCTTCCTCATGCCAGTCCATAAAGTGTGGAAGAGATGACAGTTTCTTCAAAGGCACAGGCAACCCAGCAGGACCGTACGCATCCCAAAGAATCGTCAGAGGAACACAGTATACCGGTGCCAAAGAATCGTCAGAGGAACACAGTATACCGGTGCCAAAGAAGCAGGGACCCACAGCCTGATGGAGAACTCCAAATAATTGTTCTAAGCAGGCTAAGAAACACAAATAAAATCAGAAAAACTGCAAGAGCAAAATGAAAAACCAGAGATGAAAAACATTAAAATCAACCAAAATCTGGGGAGAAAAGGATATAGTAACGAGTTTAAAAAATACAATAGAGGAGAGCCAGGAAAGAGGTGACTGTTGACAAAGAAATATCGACATTACCTGACTTCTGTAACAGTAACCCTTCTGTACATCACCTTTATAATAACAATAAATTTTCATGTATGAGGAGCTTTAGGAGTAGACTCAGAAAAGAAAGAACAATCAAAATCTTGACACAACACTTGCAATCATCTAGTCAGAAAACAAAAATTGGAAAAGAAATGAAAAAAATCTCTGGAATCTATTACATCCGTCAAGAGAACTGACATGCATAAGTTAAGAAGAAAGTGACAGGATGGTTCACACCTTTAATCCTACCTGCTCAGAAGACTGAGATTTGGAGGATAGCAATCTAAAGCCAGCCTGGGAAGAAAAGTCAGCAAAACTCCATCTGCAAAATATCTAGCAAAAAAAAAAGTGAATAGCCAAGCACCAGTGGCTCTCGCCTATAATCCCAGCTGCTTTGGAGGCTGAGATCTGAGGATTGCAGTTGGAAGCCAGCCTGGACAGGAAAGTCCAAAAGACTCAGCTCCACTAAAATGCCAGAAGTGGAGCTGTGTCTCAAGTAGTAGAGTGCTAGCCTTGAGCAAAATCACTCAAGGAGAGTCAGGGCCCTGGCCCTAAGTTAAGCCCCAGGACTGGCAGAAAAAAGGTAGTCTAGAGACATGGCTCAAGTGGTAGCACATCTTTAGAGCAAGAAAAGCTGGTACAGTGTCCTAAACAAGTCTTCATACAAATAAAAAAGAAAGTACCATATACTAAAATCAAATAGAATCTATCCCAGGAATGCAAAGATCAGTACGCCACATCGAACTAACAGAAAGATCATTTTCTTAAGAGGCAGAAAAGCATTTGACAAAAGCTAGCATTCTTTCATGAGAACATAGGATTGGAGAAAATTTACCTCAATACAATGAAGGTCATATGAGAAAAGCATACACAATAACAGCATGGTGGAAGACTTTCCTCTAAGATCAGGAACTGGCACACCTGACCATTCTGTCACTTCTCCCCAACATAGGCCTGGATATCCTAGCCAGAACAGTTAACCAAGAAAAAGAAATAAAAGGCATCCAAATAGGAAGGGAAAAGAGGGGGGAAAAATCTCCCTACTGATGATGTGATCTTACATATAGAAACTAGATTGTATCATAAGATTGTCAAAACCAACAAATTCAGTAAAATCACAGGATACAAATTCTAAATACCAAAACAGTAGCATTTTTCTCTTTTTTCATTTTTTAGATGTTCGTGTATTTCTCTTTTTAATTTCTTTACTGAGATTAAGTGATTACATAAACTTCTCAATATTATGGGATAGAGATACTAGCTAAAGTCATAAACACATTTTAACCTTCATAAGGTGAATTGTCGTTATTGTGGTCTATAACACTTATGAACAACGATTTCTTCCACATAGGGTGATAAGTACATTTCTTTCCTTTTGCTCAGTGTCAGCTGTTCCCTCTGTCCCTCTCATTCCCTCCCTCCCATCGCTGCCCTTGAGTTGCTTAGTTCATTTTCATCCGTGTCCAGTGCAGCTGATGGGCCTCTCTGCTATTTTTTCTTCACCTGTTTCCCTCTGATTCTGTGCCCTCCTCCTAGCTTCCCTCAGATGTGCACATGTATATACCATCGGTGGGGTCAAGAACAGAGAGTCACCTAAAAACAATATGACAAATTAAGAAGAGATCTTTTCTTTCTTGACTCCTGTTTACTTTGTCATATCTTGTTGCTTATTGAATTGAACATCCACATATCAGGGAGACCATGTGCCATTTGTCTCTCTGATCTTGGCTTATTTAGCTCAACATGATTTGTTCTAGTTCCATTTATTTCCCTGTGAATTGTTTTGTCCTTTCTAATGGCTGCGTACTATTCCATTTTATGTAGCTACCACAATTTATGGATCCATTCATCTGTAGTGGGGCATCTGGGTTGTTTTCATATCTTGGCTATTATGAACAGTGTTGCAATAAAGATGGAGGTGCATGTGTCCTTGTATACTGGTTCCTGTTGCTCAAGTTAGATGCCTAGGAGTGGTATGGCTGGGTCGTATGGAAAGTCTATATTTATCTTTCTGAGGACCCACCAGACTGCTTTCCACAGTGGTTGTATTAGTGTACATTCCCACCAGCAATGCAATAGGATTCCTCTTTCTCCGCATCCCCTCCAGTATTTGTCCTTGGCAGACTTGAGGATGTGGGACATTCTGACTGGGGTAAGGTGGTATCTCAGGGTTGTCTTTATTTGCACTTCCCTTACAGCCAGGGATGGTGAACATTTCCTCACGTGTTTCTTTGCCATTTTTATCCCTTCTTCTAAGAAGTCTCTCTTTAGCTCCCTTGCCCATTTAAGGACTGGCTTGTTAGATTTGGGAGGGATTCATTTCTTGAGTTACCTGTATATAATGGAAATACCAGCATCCTCTTGAGAGGGCTCAATATTATTATTTTGGGTTTTCCAGGTTATTGATGACATCATTGCGAGCCAAGAAGAGGAGGAAAAGAATAAGAAGAAAAAGCAGAAACAGGGAAAGGAAAGGAAAGACAAGAAAAAAGAGAAGGCACAGAAAGCAACAAAGGAAAAAGCTAAGGTAAAGAATTTGTATGGAATTTTAGAAATCTGATCTTTTCTTTCTGTTGTTCTTTGATTGGCATTCAGTCAGTGGGATAATCTGAAATCCATTGAGATTATAGTTGCTTGTTTCCTAAGAAAACTGTTCCAGCTGCTACAAGATTGTCACTTTGTTTTATGTTGATTGACATTTATTTGCTCTCTTTTCTATGACTTCTAAGTATATAGTGAGATGAGTGTTTCTAACAACTCAAATACTTCACATAGCTTTGAATTTTTATTCCTCCAAGTAAGTCACCCAGTTGTCTGTCCTCAGGAGTAGCATGAGGGCAGAATGTTCACCCAACCAAGGAACCACTGAGACGTCAAAATAATCACACCTGATTCGCCCCAAATATTGAAATTGACATGTATCACTAGCATCGACATCTTGGGTGTATTTTAACAGAAGCAGCATTTGTTTCTTCCTACCCCCCAAGAAGTAAGACATCAAGCAGAGTGACGTGCAGCCAGGCGTTGGAGGCTGGACGTGGGGCTGGACGTGGGCATGGGTGGTGTGCCGCGTGCTCTTATCTTGGTGCAGTCATTGGGGGCTCCAGCTATCATCAGCTCCTTTACAAGCAATGGAGTTTGGGCTCCAAAGTAGTGCCGCCTTAAAATGCAACAGCCTTTAGAGTTTAGGTCCCGCTTCACAGCTGACCGAAGTGTGACAGAATCAGCTCCTCAGTGCACCCCATCGGTTACAGTTCCCCTGTGAGTCTGATCTGAACTACTTCCAGAATGAGTTCCTCAAAGTTATGTCTACTGCAACCCCGTTTCTAGAAGCCTGAGACCTAGCTCTGGCCAGGTAGCAGTGGCCATGCCCTTACATTCCGAAACGCAGTTCCAGCCAGCGCTGAGACGGAGATGCGTGTGGGGGAGAAGCTCCAGGCCGGTGACTGCTGGGCGGTGCCGGGGCTGTGCTGCAGTGAGAAGGGAGGAGGCCG